CTGAAATGAATGGGAACGGAAGCTATCGGATTTAGAAATTAAAGTTCTTTTCTTTTGAAAATAGAGGTATAAATGCCGGATAATGAAACGACAGATAATGATCTAACAAGATGCAATAGTTTGTACCAAACTTTTCTTTAATTGGATAGAAATATTAATACTGCATGAAATTAATTGACATTATTTTTTAACTGTCTCATACGTTTAAATTCTGTTGTTTACAATATGTCCAATAGTTTCATTATATTGCTAGTAGTGCTTAATGTAATTGTTTTTTTATAAAATTTTCAATATTTCTCTCGAATTTTTCGGGAGTTGCTGTCTATTTTTTCCGTGACAAACTTGCCACCCTAACTATTGGAGTGAAACAAGGTGATATAAGTCTTTTTTTTTCTATCAGACGAAACTAAGCCATTGAAAAACAAAAAAAAAAACTCTTCTGGTAGTGATAAACTGCACTCAGAAAAAAAATATTTTTATTTATTCAGATATAATAAGTAATTTCTATGGAACGGATTTATTAAGACAATCCTGCACTTCATTTTCAGCTGACATCTCATACTCACGGCGTTCAATCTCGAATTTAATGACTGAGCAAAGCATAAAGATCCCTGAATTTGGTAAGTTTGTAGCGAAATAAAGAAAACAGAATAAGACGGAGTCTTGAAGCTTGTGCTTGCCTAAAAGCAATCAAATTGTTATTAAATTGAAGATGAAAAATTAATTCGCTTTTGAAGTAATTCGCAATTAGAAAAATCTCTGCATCTTTCACTAATGTTTCAGTAATGTGTAAGATCAAAAATGAATGACGCAACTGTAACAATTTTCAATTAAAATATTTTTTTTTTACTTCATTTAGCAAAATCTTGTTCCTACAATACATTTCGCTTGCAGTGTTGTGGCTTCATATTGCAACACACAGTATTTTATTTTATTTTTATAACCGTCGTTGAACACTCGATTCAATTCTGAATTTATGATAATTATTTTTCTTCTTCATAGCCCTGTAAATTTGTTCCTAATCCAGAAGACAAGGGAACTCGTGGTTTAGGCATTATGGCAAACTAGCCATCGTGGAGTTCTTTTTGATGGAACCAATCTGCATTTGAGTTACAAATGGAGAGTAAAACCACGTAAACCTCCCATGATTGGCCCGATGTCAAGGGAATCTAACCCATGATCCGTCTACGACTGACGATATTTTATTTTAAGTTGTTATTATATTTAAGTGAGCACTGTGTTCGGTGAGAGTCAGGAGCAGAATTCGTATCATCTAACCACCGCTGGAATTCGAACCTGCTACACCTTATTAGGAGGTGAAAACTCTACCACCTGAGTTACCACGGCTCCAACCATAATATTAAAACATGCATTTCAAATGCCTTAATTCACAATTGTGGGACCAAATGTCATAAAATTATATTAAAGTTATAGTTATTAGGGTCCATACATTCTTCTATTACGAAACTTGCTTTGATACTGATAAATTGATTTACTGTTTTAGTGCTATACGTACATTCAAGATATGCCAGAAGCAGAAAATATCTCAAATAAATTTTTTATGGCACTTACACATGGCACTTTCACAAAGCCATGAACCAAACATCTGCTACTTGAGAGTCATTATTTATGAAATAATTAATGGTACAGAGTAGATGGCTTAGTCTGCATCATTACTTATTTATTTGTTAATAAGTCAGCATAAATGTTACTGGCGTCCGAAAATGGTATTAATTTATGACAATCAATCAATAGTCTTGAAATTAACCTATATCCTATTAACCTATATAAAATCCTATAAGAATACTACTGTTAAAATTAATGCAATAGTATCCAGTACTTTAAGCAATTTTTGTCCCTATTTCTACTTAATATTCTCATGCAACAATAATTTTAAGATTAATATTGACCCAAATGTTTTTGACATGATTTTCATTTCTTGAAATTAGATCGGTGATATAAATTTCCTGTCCAGTCATATTAAATTTACGAGGCAAAATTAGGGCAGTAATCTTTCTCTTGATGTTTGTTATCAAATGAATAAATAGTCAAAACACTGCAAACTTTCCACGTTTAGTTTAGAACAAAGACACATACACATATTTATCTGAATGAGTCAAGAATAATATCCATTTTTATTAATGTTTATGTGAAGCAGCAATTACAAAGTGAACGTAAGAATAGAAATTCTTAAGTTTTGGCACGAATCCAATTTCTGAACAGTGATCCGCTAAGTACAATGTCCGAGATGTGACCTGGTGTCAGAGAAAAAAGAAGAAAAGTTCAATATAGTACATATATCACAGCTGTCAGTCGAAAGGATAGTTAAGGCCTTTTGTCCATAGCATATACATCCTTTTTCACATTTACATTCATATGGAATAGAGCTATTGTTCAAAATGATGCTTTCTCCAGCAATGGAACAGTCACCGCCAAATTGGCGATAGATGATAGGATATTTAACTAGTGAAGTTCTTTTTGTTATAAATATGGAAGGTGTATGAAGGTACCATAAGTAACAAGTTTTACAATTTTTTCGGAATGTTTTCAAACTATTTTTTAATAAAGAGTGTCACACATTTAACTTTTTTTTTGTTATTCAATAATTTTCATGCTTTGCATTGCATGGGGATTTCTTTTCAGTAAGAACTTTTCTATAAAATAATTAATAAAATTCTACCCAAATTTTTACCCAATATACAGTATCATGTTACAAATAAATAACATAACATAAATAATAGAATGCAGCAGAAGAGTTTAGTAAAGAAAAAAAAACATATTGATTTCTGATTGATTAGGTTTGCTAAAAATAAGCCCATATTAAGAGGCCATTTACAAAACGTCTTTGAATGGAAACTGAATTACCTTAAATAATAAATTATTATCCCATGCATGCAGCACGTCTCTTATCTTGTTCCCAAACTTGCAAACTTCTGAGTTTATAATTTTCTAATATGTTTTTATACTAAGGCTGGTAATCAACAATGCATAATAAGACTCCGCATTTAACAAAATTCATTTAGTTTATTATATTTCTTCAACAGTTTTCCGACAAAAAAATAAGTGATTCAAAACAAGGATATAATTAAACCTGTACAATTTTAAAAATCTGTTTAATTAATTTATTTTGAAAGGATTTATAAAGTGAATTTAGTTGCACATAAATTATTTCATTCACCAAATTTTTCTTAAATTCATAACTTAATATCCGTCAGTACACAATTATTATTTAAAGCAAACAGTCATTCTTTTTGCTTGAAATTAAAAACTATATTTTGATAACCTACATAATCTGTTTAACTGTCTTCTGAATAATATGTTTAGATTAGTTGAAAATAAGTTTCTTTAACATATTTTATCATAACGAAAACAAAAATAGGATTCCAACAAAATTTACCTGGAATGTAAATTGTGAAATTAATTGTTAACATCTGTTGATTCTAAAAAAGTGAAAAGTTTTAAGTGTTTTTGAATTTTAAATTTACTTTCGAGTTTTCTTCAGCAAAATAATTGAAAAAAATAAATTTTATAAAATCATTTTTAGGTTTCGAGAAAAAAATTAAAAGGAAATATAAGAAAAAGTCTACTGAATTCAAAACACTATTTTTAATCAACAATTTATTTTTAAATTTCAGAATTTATTTTATCACATTTGAAAATTATTTCTCCTAACTAATGATTCTTGCTTGCTAATTGGCTGAACTTCATCTATGCTTCAAATGCATCCATATTCCTTGACTAGAATGTGACGAATTTGTTAGTCACTGAAGCTACAATTTGATGACGACACAATTTACTTCTATTTATTTCATCAAATTCATAAAATAGCTCATTCTAAAATAGTTCATTTTATAGTCTTTCTGGAGTTAACAATGAGTTATTAATAAGTAAGGCTTGTGAGAGAAAAATGAATCGGTGAAAGTTGATTATATTGGCAAACACTGCACATTAGAAGCATTTTTTCACATATATTAACACGCCACATACACTTTCATAAAATTAATATGTACGTCATCATTAAAACATTTTTAAAACTTTCGGAAAATGGAATAAATGGTATATATTTGTATATTACATTTTGGAAGTACAATTCTCATAATTTAAAGCAGTATTTATTTATATTTTTATTAAGTTAAATAATTTTTAATACATTTGTTTCTTGGGAATGAGATTTTTTTTTATTTAAAATTGGCAACGACTTTAATAAAAGATACTAAAAAATATGAACTAGCTGTTTGAATGTCTAACTGAATGCGTTGCGATTTACAGTTTTGGCAGCTAAATTATATAAATTTAAAACATTTTCGATTTTATTTTTAAAATCCAGAATCTAGAAGTGTTAAGCTTGTTATGAAGTAATACATTTTATGATGGATGAATGATAATTAACTAACCAACTTTGAGACGCATTAAACAAAAAAGGGAATAAAACTAAGTTTTATTAATTTTTAATTTGTACACATTACAGCATTATGAGAAAGTTTATTTACATGCATTTCTTACATGTTTCCATATGTTTATTCATGTATTTTCTTAATATTTAGCGTTAATCATTTTTCGGTATTCAAGCTTTCGAAACAATTTGCTTATGATTCTTTTCATTATTTAATGCGTTGTTAGTTTTCACTGATGTAACAAAATTTGTTATGTTGTTTTGAATGAGCATGCGAAAACAGGAAATCGTAGTTTTCTCATTTTTATAAGAGTTTTAATACCGAGTCAAAGTTGGTTAGATAGTTTTTATTTTCATCGCGTATTATTTTCAAAGATAGTTTAAAAATTTTATCCTATTCATTGCGTTTATAATAAAAGAAAGTTCATTTTGATTATTTTACACAACTTTAATATTGGTTTTCTATTTAAAAAAATAAGAATGGTAATTTCAATAGTGTTATAAATAACTGATAAAAATCTTTGCATAATTATGATCTCTTGTAAAATTATTTGGAGTATAATAATTAGCTTTATGTTTACCTCACTTCCTCTCTTTATTTGTATCAATAAATCTAAATAATTTCAAATATCAAAAGCTCAAATTTCACAATTCGTAATAAGTAGAGTGATTTATACATCTGAAATAACAACACAAACAAGTAGTGCACATTTGGAAAATCATAACGTGATGATAATTCAAAACGTGGGTATCCAATAAAACTCTTTTCTCATCACTGTACGAAAGTACAAAACCACCTTGCACCTCATTTACACGATGCCTGACACCAGGCTCATGACGTCACAAGACGAATGAAAACCTGATTTCACTTCCGATTCTCCTAGCCTGCTTTCAGACAAGTTTTGCCGAGCGAAAAAACTTCGAGTCAGGTCAGTAATCAAGCGAGTTATGAATGGTGTTTTGCATCACGTGATTATATTTCACTAATTCTTGCAAAGTGGAGTTTTTTAACATCAGAAATGGTGTAAATTTTCAAGTTTGTGACGTCAGAAGACTGCTTTCAGACGGCTTTTTTTTCAGTTCTTGTGTAAATAGGATGCTAAATCACAAGTGATTAAATTTCAAAGTGGCCGGATCATGCTATTTATCGAAAATGACATCATTACGCGTGGGAAGGAAGATGTTATGTATCGGCTGACGTTTATTTTATTTTAGCTATATATTTCAGTTTCACGTGAGCTCTAGATTTACTTGATTCGTATAAGTGCTTACGTAATATCAGTATTAAATTTTATTTTCATGAATTTGATTCTGAAAAAAATTTATCACAAAATTGGGTGAATAGCAAAAAGTATTTTTATTTCGAGCAAATTTATTAATTAAAAGAAATTATCATTTGGCCATATACATTATAACATTTATAATAGAATCAAACAAAATACTGTCTACAGTGGCAGTATTTATATTCATTACTTATCAGGTATTATAAAAACTTTATCTTAATAGCACTGTTATAATTTTTCCTGCCATCAGTGCCTTTTTAAAAATCAGTAAATTGAGTTATTGTTTTCTATTAAATAGCTCTTTCATTTATTTAAATTAAATATTTCGAAATATTAGACTAAAAATCACGCTTGAAAATAATGTAGTTATATATCTTGGGATCGAATGAAATATCAATTATTAAATATAAATAAAGAAAAAAAAAGATAATTTATTTAAAGCCAAAATTCATATCATCTTCTTTCCCACAAGTAGCGATGTCATGACAAACGGCGTGACCTGGCCACTTTGAAATTTAATCACTCGTGTTAAATCCAAGGCAATATGAAGCAGAAGAAATACGGTATCCTCTCCAAATGTATCTCTGGTAGAATTTTCAACAGATTGTAGAAACACTTCCTCAAGTCAAGTATAAAATATCAGCGTTCCCTCACAGAATTGCGTCCAAAGGTTTGACTATGTTTATTCGTCTTTGCAGGACGGAAGAACAAATCTCAGCTGTCACGTGCCGTATTGTTCCGTGGAAGGCAGGCAGTTACTTCACGCATGGAAAGCTCACGATGAAACAGACTGTAGGTTGTTGGTCAGCTGACTGGGTAGGATGCAGCCATTTGTCCGAAGACACTGTCCGGACCTTGCTGCAGTATGTTCCTGACGACCTGTAAGTGCTGTCGGATGTAGGGGACTGTCGGATGCAGGGACAGTGTGTGAGAAAGGCACCGCTCAGCCATGGCGAACTCCTGACGCTCGAAATGTAAGACACACAGGTTGTGGAGTGCCTTTTGATTGACAGGGTCAATTTTTAGTACTTTGCTGTAACACTGCAAAAGAAATAATAAGAAATTATGTAGACGCATATAGCAATTATTGGTATTATAACTATATAACTATTTAAATATGTATTTAACGCAATATAAGTGTAGAATAGACAGAAGCTATTATTTTTTCATAAGTTCAAAAGTTGACATGACCAGTTGATATTCAATATAAATATATTAATGACTAATACCATGTTGAATGATCAGGAAGTAAATAAATAGTAGGTATTACTTTCAAAATATTAAAGGTTTTTATGAAAAAAATATATTCTGTGAGAACCTGACTAAAGTTAACTTACTTTTCAGCCGGTATATATAAAACCACCTAATGCAAATTTTTAATACTTCTGCTTTCAATTTTTCTGCAAATGATGTCAGAAGCTATTGTTCGTAATGACGAAAATTTTTATTGAAACAAAGCTCCTAGCCCTGATACATAATATCTAGTTTCTTGAGAGTTTTGATGACCGAATCAAACACGGTTCTATATTTCAGCATAATTTTTGAACTTAATAATCAGCTAAAATCTTTAGAGTCATTGGAATTTTTTTCACTATTTAATAAATAAGCAAGCTGTTTGAATATCACGCAAATAAGATCATATTTGTCTGATCGAATTTGTGTTGTTTCATGTAAGAGATTGCTAGGTGATGGGAAAGAAACGACTGAAAAAGGCATCTCTTAGTCATCCATGACAAACTCATAAGGTTTTGATGTAAAACACACATTTTATAGCCAACCATCAAATTAAACATATTGCTACAGTATTTAGTCCTCTAAATGCATTTTTAAGCACGTGAGTTGTTTCAACGTATATTTCGGAAATTATATCGGCATTTTTATTCTTAAAAATGGAATCTCTTTTTATGTAGGTTGATTTATTGTTATAACAATTATTTGAAAGTGACAGTAATAAAAAAAATACTTTAAAAATTCAGTTTAAATAAACTGCACTTATGAAATACTGAAATGTACCAGTATGATAAATAATGTTTCATTTTAAAAGGCCAAACATGCTTCAAATGCCAAATATAAAACATTAAAACTCTTAAAAAATGAAATAAAAACATATTATGCACTGTTGGTGCACGAGGAATGATTATTTCAGTTTTTAAGAAATTAGGTAAACCCATATTTCTGAAGAGGATTGCCTTTATTAAAGCTTGAAGAAAAATCCAATTAGTAGAAAAAGAAAGATGAAGAAGACAAACATAATTGAAGATGACAGTAAATGATAAAAATATTATGAAATGATGAAAGCTCATACTGGCTAGTAACCATCACTAGCCAGTATAATTACTCCATAATTAGGAAATATATGTTATTTCGCGAAAATATAAATTTTGAAGGCAGATATAGAATCTACAAATGAAAGGCGCCATTGAGGCGAACATAGAAACACACTGCGCACACCCTTACTGTTCAAAATTAAAAATGCCAGATCATGAAAATGTTAGGATATTTTTCGTTAAGGAAAATCAATGAATCCATACATTGGCTATGAATCGTTACAATTTATTCCTTCTTGCCTATATGTTTTTCTACCATTCTTGGATTTAAAATATAAAATGTGTTGACGGTTAGAATTAAAAATGATAATTTATAAAATCAAAAAATGCAGCAACGATGTTCGAATTTTACGCAAATGCAAAATGCAATTCTCAGAGTAGTTCAATTTCCTCTCGCATACCAATGTTACTAAAAATATTATTAGTGATATTTTAGTGAAAAGAAAATGAAATAAAATGTAATAATTCAGTTTTTAAATTATAAGAAATACTTTAATCCTATATTTGCATGACAAATTTGATATTGACCTTTTCAGAAACCAATTTAGTATTCACTCAACTCTATAAATAAGAGTAATACGTAGTTAATAAAAAAACTTAATGAACCTCTTTATATTGAAAAATATTTTTTTATGTATTTATTTTCTTGTTTGGTGCAGTTGTTCATAGTATGTCAGATCTGTGTGCTAAAAATAACTCATTCCAACTTTACTACAAATATATTAACATGATTCTTTGTTATAAAAATTTTCCAAATTCATTAACAGTTCTTTTTTTGATTTCTAAAATAAATAAAGAAGTGAAATCCTTTAGCTAAAGTTACATCATTTTATAAAATCTCATTAAAAATAGACATTTACTAATACTTTAATGGAATGGAATACTTTATAATAAAATGAAATACTTTATAATAAAATCTTAAACTAAAACTTGAAACTTTAAAATTCATCTCTGGCATTTTGACTTTTCGATACTTGTTTTATATCATACAAGTAATAAACTAGAGTAAGTTTTCAATAACATGTAAAAATCAGAAGAGTATCATTCTCAAAAAAACATATGTATCTTTTTCGTACATAGCATCCTATACAAACGCAATTCATATTTCCCATCTCATGTAACCCCAACGCAAGACATTGTTAGAAAGTTTTTAGCTTTCTTGTTCCAAAGCAAGGTAGTGGGATGGATTTTTCCGAGACCGAATTGCAAGAAAAATAATCTGTTTCGATATTACTTTCCTTTCCCGTTGTCTATGCCCCTCGAACGTACTATTCAATCCTTTGAAGTCCACTAGCGTTCCAAATAAGGAGGAACTATTACTTCTCTTTCCTTGGCGATGTTATAGAAAACCTTCCAACCATTTGTCGTTCTTGGAGACATTTCTAACGGAGCGGAACACCGAGACATGACCAAAAGAAAGCGAACCATCCATCCGAGTAGCGAGAAAAAGAAGAAGAATCAGGAAAGGAAAATTACCTCTTCGGCGACATCCAGGTCCTTCAGGTGATTGACATTGATATCGGCCAATAGGATGAGGCCATTGATGTGACCTGGGTGATGCTGTGGAAATAAGAATAAAGGAGAAAATGAAAATTCTTGTAGATAGTTTCTTAAGTAAAATTGCTTAATGATACAAAGATACATTTATGAGAAAATAATGGTTCAATGCATTTCTTTTATTAAGTGCACTTTGATCTTATATATATGACTTTGTAACTTAGTTTGTGACTAAAGAAATATCTTTTTAGTTTCTTATTTTATGACTATATGTTAGAATTATTTGTTCAAATTTTCGCCCTTTAACTTTTCACGTTATTTGTAGGAACGTTTTAAATTAACAACATGTTTGTAAACAAACAATTGTTTTAATGTATTTTTAAGCAATTACAGAAAATATGAATACATGAATGTGTATTATAGTTACAGTAAAATAGTTATAGTATGTGTACTATAAAAAATAGTAATGATCTCAGCGATCTTCTATCGATTCAAGATTCAATACTCTATATACACCGAAGAACCATTCCATTATGACCACCCTACATCTATAACAATGGGCTCGCCCAGGTTTTCACGGTTTCTCGCCCAGGAACAATGTTTTCATGGGGCACGTTAGGACCCATAATCCTCATAGGACAATCCCTGACTTCTGTATGCTACTTGAACATAGTTGCAGACCAGGTTCACCCATTCATGGCACCAGTTTTTCCTGCAGGGGATGGTGTTTACCAACAGGAAAATGCACCATGTCGTAAGGGTCGAATAATCATGGATTGGTTCGAGGAACATTCCAGTGACTTTCAAGTCATGTCTTGGCCCCAAATTCACCTGACCTTAATCCAATAGAGTATTTGTGGTCCAACTTGGAAAACCAAATTCCTGCTGCCACGCTACCCCCTCGCAATTTGAGGGAAATGCAGGACCAGTTGGTGAGCGCTTGGTACCAGATACTTCAGACTACCTATCAGCACCTTGTGGAATCAATGACACGGCGGGTGCTAGCTGTTTTGAGGGCTAAAGATGGTCCTACATGTTATTAGCAGGGTGATCATAATGTAATGGCTCTTCGTTGTAATTGGCAGAAACTTTACAGCAGAGTATACATCAGTAAAAATCACAGTAAATCATAATCATTATCGTGTAATCTTACATGCACGCAAAGCAAAATTAATTTCAATGCCCGCATTTAAACTCTATGTTCCGTTTATCATCCCACTTTATGAGTTTTTCAATACAAACTGGATTATTGTAATATAAATCAACTTACACCAACATTGTTTAGATTAAAATGATGTTAAAATCATATTCGACTATATAGTTTGAACTGAATTTAATGCTTGTGATTGATAAATATTCTTGTTTCGTTTGAAACATAAGATAAAGCTCATTAGAGGTTCCATTTTCAAGAAATTTTATTGTCATTTATCCAATAATCTTTTTATTAGGAGATAAAAAATACATAATTATCATAATATTATTATTATTAAATCTCATGTGTTTAAATTGAAAAAAAAAGGGTGAATTTATGTTAAGCCTTTGTACTATTTTATTTTTCGAAAAATAAATCGGAAAGTAGAGGAAAAGTTTATGTTTTTAAAACATTTTAAATAGTCTCCAAAGCGTTAAGAAGAGAATATATAGAGAATAAAAGAAATAAATGCAAATAAAAGATTTTCGGAAAAATGGAATTCGATTTGATGTTTCTTTTTTGTTTTCCTTTTAAATCAGATGAAATTGCTGAAATCATACAATTTGAATTTGAAATGTCAGAAGCATTATGAGTTTTTACTAAACTTTTAAATCTTTGCCCACTTATAAAAGCATTGACTAAAAAAATGGAAACTATGTCACAAATATTAATCAGTTTTATTAACTATAGAAAATAATTGCATTTACAAAGCCTTTTACAATTTCCACGATCGTTGTACTAGAAACTAGAATATATCACATTAAGGTTTAACATTAGTAGAAAAAAATTAAATATGCATTTCGAAACTTTATAAACAATGTTTTCGGAAAATAGAAGCTTTTAAACATCAAAAATTATTCGATTCGAAGTAGGCGTTCATTTGTTTATGTAGTCAACTTCATGTTATAGTGACTAATGGTATGCTTATCTGTATCATCTAATCTGCAGATTGTATATTTAGTGAATACACTAAATCTTGTCTTGTCACGCAAGGAGATAAGGATATGTCATACGTACAAGACAATTTTCGAATGTATGAACTATTGCAGTAGTTTGAAATACGAAATTTTCGAACACGAAAGCAAGGTTTAGTAGCACATGCACGAAACATTATTTAAACATTAATTTACTTTCATTTTAAGGGGGGAGGTTTTTGACACTGGTTCCATGTTATGCTTGATGTTCTGTGATTATTATTTTTTGTGCCTAAATCTTTCTAATATTTAGGGAATAGTTCACAACTTTAAATGCATGTAATATTAAAGTATTTGGATCGCTTTTTTTTCTTAAAGAAAGTTGGATGTTATGCTGTAGGAGTATAACAAATACAGTAAAGATAGGCTATAAATGATTACCAGAAAAACATTTAAGTCAATTCATGGTAAATGTAACATAACATGTATAGCTGATTGAAACAGAAAGGGCTCGTTTAAATCATGAAAATAGAGCCGCGATAGCTCAGGGAATGGAGCATTCGGCTTCCAATGAAGTGAGACGGGTTCGAATCCCGGCTATGGCAGGTCTGCCCGAATCCGCATCCGCCTTGCACCGACCACAGTGCTGACGTGAAATATAATCAATGGTAGACGGATCGTTGGTTAGAGTTCCCTTGCAGTCAGGCTAACCGTGAAGGGTTCTCGTGGTCTTCTTCTCCCAGTAACGCAAATGCGGGTTAGTTCCATCAAAAAGTATTCCTCGAAGGCAAATTTCTCCCAATACTTGCTCCAGGAGTTCCCTTGTCTCTTGGATTGGGTTCGAAATTACAAAGCTACAAAGTTGAACATTAGAAGTCGTGAACCCAAAAATTGGGTCGGCTGTTCACCGACAAGTTATTAAAAAATATCACGAAAATGCATCTAAGTGTTATTTTAATAACATTATTTTTTTTCAACTGACTTTTCAACTTTTATAATAGGTGAACAATTAATGAATTTCAAATCTAATGAAACTAAATTGGAAATTCTCCCCCCAAAAAACAAATCTGCTTAAAAGTATCGCTTAGAATTTAAAAAATTTGACTATTACTTCAGATGCAATGCATCTCTATCACTTATAAAGTGATTTCCAATTGCATTAAATGTTTATTAAAATGTTTTTCTTCAAGGAATTTGGGTGTTACATTTTCCAGAAGCAGGCAACAGAAAGTTCAGAAAACATATTACTCATAAAGTGCTTTCACCAAAATGTCGAAATCAATATATTTAAAGAATTATTGAAGCAGACTATTTGAAATAAATTACTGTATTAACGGGAAATAAAAATGTTTTAATTACAAAATTAACTCACTGCAGCATAAAATACATGCAACCATCTCATAAAATTACGTTATCATGCAATACGTTACAATAAAAAAAGTTTGTTGTCGTTTTACAATTATTATACCGATAATAGGTCGCATTTACTTTTTATTGAGTTATATTTTTACTTTTATCATTAATTTTACTTAAAACAGTGATCAATAAACGTGTGAATTCGAAACAACTCAAAATAAATAAATAAATAAAATTAAAAATAAACATATTCAAAATAACCATTTAAATTTCTGAAGCATTATTAATAAAGCAATTTATAAACCTTTTGCACTATAGATAAATATGGCACAGATGAATTAATCGATTTGGATTAATCAAAAAGTAAATAAAAATTTCCAGAAATTATTTAAAGAAGAAATTATCCAGAAATTGTTTAAAATTATTCCTACGAGAATCAGAAGCAGAACATCTGAAACCATACATGTGTTTACTGAAAACAAAAATGTTTTAGTCGAATAACTTTTAGTTCTGATGTAACACTCAGCTTATCAACAAGAAAAAAAATTAAAGAAAACAGGCTTCGGGTTTTGTGAGAGAAGCGAGTAAGTGAAGTCCTCTATTATTTAATAACGTTATACTTCATTTAACAATAACAAAATATTTTTACAATACATATTTAACTATACCACTTTTAATGGAACTATAATACTTTCATAATTAACTATAGCATTGATATGTATTTACTATTAATTATTCAATACATATATAACTATAGCACTTCATGTAACTCTAGCAAAAGTTATCGCTTGAAAAGAACCAAAGAATCTTTAGCCATTTCAATTATCTAAACCGAATGTGTTTCATCATTTCTAGAAAAGAAAATTAATATAAATATTTAATTAGAGCGAAGAAAGTATGTTCCATCATTCATTTCCCAACGTACATGTATCAAACTTTAATTACCATCCCTCATCAAAGTCATTAGTCCATATTCATTCGAAGTTCACTACAAAAGAATCTTTCTAAGTCGTCAACAGTGGTTCGAACGTTTCAAGCCAGAAAAGAGGAAAATCTTAACATTTTGAGAACTGTTGAAAAGGAAGCGATACAAATGTCAGCAGCTAGTGTGTTTCCGGGGGTTGGAGGGGTTAGCTGCAATAAAAAGGAACAAGAACACAAGAGAAATCGATCTTTTACGAAGCAATTACTCACCCCGAGAAGTTTCTTCAGAAAAGACAAGGCTTCCGTCTGCCTGTGCTGTTCTGACAGTAACAGAGCCAGGTTGAACAGGGCCTCGCGGGAGTCTGGCTTCTTCTGTTAAAAAGAAAATAAGAAGTACTACAGTCTTCTGTGATAGTACCACAAGAGAAACGATCTGGATAACAAGCATCACTTAAACTAAGAATGAGGAATTTTGTTCTGTCGAGCAGGAAGTTTTCCTTTTGTAAATTGCTTATTAATGCAACAAGGAATAGGGGTGATTTGAAATTGTCATTTATTTAGAGAGAATTAAAGTTGCCCTCGACGGAATTTTTCCGGGAGTACTAAGCTCTTGTTTTCACCGCTTATTGAAGAGAAGTATGTAAGAAATTTTTGAAGTGAACTGAGATGAAAGAATGCATAAAATATGAGGTTGGAAGGAATAGTTGCTTTAATGATAAATTTGTGTCTTGAATTATTTTACGAATTTTTGAAAGGGGAATTTGTTTCGTAATTTTCCGAAATTGTTATACTGCTTTAAACTGATTCTAATTTAAATGCCGAATGAAAATAAATGATAATTTTCTACTATTAGATATTTATATTTTACTGATTTTATTAAGAAAATGAAGTTTCAAAGCTATTTAAAATAGCGTCCTGTATTCATATGTGTAAAAAAATTGGTAATAATGTGATAAATCTATCTATCTATATTATATAAAACGCTAATACGTACGTATGTATGTATGTATCAATAAAACCGATGATATTTCTTTTCTCGCGCTGGCAACAGTTTTCATTTTTAATTGATTGGATTCGGTGCGCAAGAGCACGAGAGCCAGAGTGAGCATTATCAGGTTGTTCAATTCAGATTCATGCACTAAAAACATGACAATATTTAATTTAAACTCAATTAGGAATTAATTAATTAATTGAAGTGAGAATGCTTTAAAAGGCCGCTGTTGAATTGATATTTTTCTACTGGGAGCTACCTAAACGTCTAAAAAACGTTTTAGTGTTTGTAT